GGAAGGGGCTTCTTGAGAAGAAGCTTGTCTAACACTGAGTCGAATGTTTCCAGAAGCAAGGCTGCTAATTTTGAAAACAACGATATGACTTCAACTAGGCAGTCCACTACTGATGAACTTCACAATGCTGATGTAGTTCCTGCGGAGCTGATAAATAGTGTGCCACACATGCTTATAGAAAAACAAAAGCATCATGTTGGTAAAGGTACTGCAGAGGCTATTGAGAGTAATTCAAAGAATGCATGTGAGACAGGCCAGCATGATGGTTACTGCTCAACTTCAGGTGAAATTAGAGATCCTCTTGGAGCAGCTAGTGGGTATTTATCGAGGAGCAGCAGTACCACTTTGTCATGTGGCACTGAATACGATCATGATACCCATCATCTGGAAGAACCATGTGGTCCCTGTGATGACAGAGTGGTTAATGAACCTGATCCACTCTTTGTGCACAATGGTAGAACTGATGAAGCAGCAACAACAGATCGAACATCTGGAATAGTGGATACTTATCCAGCTCAACAGCGTAGACTGTGTTCTGTTGATGGGAAGCTGAAAATAAAAGATGACCAAAATTCCACTAGTGATAAAGGTGGCCAAAAAGAAACATTGGCAATATGTTCAATAACAAATGTGGCTGATAAAGAGTTGAGCAGAACATTAAGATCTCTTGGTGAATCTATGGTTGAGAACATACAGGTAACCTTACTTGATAAAAACTAAAAAGAAACTTGTTGCCAAATAGAGGCCACATATATATATTTATCTGGTCGATCTTTTTCTGTAAAGTTCATATTTTATGTTGTCAGTACCTCTTAGTTTATTTATATTTCCCTTTTAGAACTCATACTATTCTGATAATCAGACACTAGACAGGTTTATCAATATTAGAGTTTGTACTTCCTCCCCCCCCCCAACCCAACCCACCACCACCACACACACACACACACACACACGCTCCCTCTGCTTTCCTTGTAAGAAGATAGGAAAGAACAAGCAGATAATGCCCCCATTGTCGGATATATGCACCTTAAGCTCAGATCATGAGATACCTTTTCTTGTATGTTCCCTTGCCTAATTTGCTAGTTTATATCACAGGATATCGAGATGCTATTTCAACCAAATTCACTATCAACTTCAGTGGAGAAACTTGAGAAAGCAATTCCTAGAAGCACAGAGCAAGCTAAGGCAGTAGCAGCTCTAAAAGAACTCAGGAAGATCAGTGACCTTTTACGTCAAATCTAACCAGTACAGCTATAAATATTTCTTCCATACATACAGTGTTGTACTAACAAAAACATACAGTGTTGTAGTTTTTTATACGTATCCCATTGGACAATGGATCTGATGTAACATGCTAACAGTATATAACCATCTGATTGATTGGTAAATAGTAATTTTGTACATGTTCCCTGTAAGCTGATAAATCGTAACTGTACATCTGAACAGCAGCCTGCTGGTTTTTAAATGAAGGCGGCATACATTTTTTGGCTTGTGACCCAACAATAAATCTGCAAGGTTTCTGCGTTCTTAACGCCCATTTTGCCATTTCTTATTTTGAGAACGGTGGCAATCAAAGATTGTTGCCCGTGTGAAATGTGAATACAGTGGCCACCAACATCATCAGATGAGAGTGCATTGTGGTGGTACCACTGAGGCTTGAGCCCTTCCACATTTCCACATCATCAGAAAGTTTATCAGCTGTTTAGATATTCACCTTCAAAACCTGCCGTTTGTTGATATGCCGAAAGAGCTGGATTCAATAGTGGTCCGATCATATGCTTCAAGTTGGTTGTGTTACAGTCAACATTACTGTTTATCGGTGTGGAAGCTGGGCCAGGCGATGATATTAGCCATACAAGTTTAAGGCATAACAAAATAATTACTCCTATTCATTTTGGCTTTAGATACATTATTGTAAAGCAGACAAGGAATGAAGTTAGATTCATGCAGAGAATGTCTGCACGTCCCAATGGCTTAGCTTCAACAAGAACTCACAAGGTGGAACATAAATGAATATATCACCGAAGAGGCGAAGATCAAACTTGGTAAGGCCACGATCAACGATAAATAGTGACAAACAAAAAATTTCATAGCATGAGTTGTCCATGTCACCTTACAACAATGTCACACAAAAATTGATAGTTTAACAACCTGAGCTTTGAAAATATGCATGGGTTCACTCATCTAAGTAGTAGTACAAATGCCCCCGTAGTGGTGTGTCAAACATGAACTCATTCCTTTTCCTGCTCTGAGATCCATTCCATGTATCCTGCAAGCAATATAAAATAATGTCAACATGATTCAAATGCGAAACATCGGTGACCCTTATACAACATGGAAGTTATAGATTACACTGTAGAGTCTGATGTGAACCAAACTGTTTGAGAAAATAGTACTGGGCACAACATGAATCTAGCTATACAGATTTTACTTATGTCTTGGAGATTTGAGATGCCTAAAGTCTAAAACAGGTTAACTAAACGATCTCCATGTCCCTACCACACAAAAATCAAACTTGATTATTTGAACTTGAACTACTTGTTGTACAAGGTATAAACGTTGTGGGCTTAACCCCATCATAATGGACAAACACGAACTGAATGTTGTGGACTTGCAAACTTCATAAGTCACACAAGCAAAACCACATCAGGAAGCTCAAATCAGCCACTCAACTGATGGAATTCTTTTAGTTTGCCAACATCCAGCTTATTGTCCTCAACTACTCATAATCTGATGCACATGGCAATTCAGCCAGATTGCATGCACCTTCCCAGCAATCCTTGACCAACTTAATCAAATTTTCTTTCTTTCTTTCTTTTTCTTTTTGGCAAAGTTGGTTGCCCCACAGACTAATAAGGATACCAAAAAAAAAAAACTTGGATGTTTTGCACACCATAAATATAATCAATAAATACTCCCCATTCCTTCCAGCAGCAATCACTAGTTCTCAATTCCACATAGAAGGGCGATAATCCAACCACAGCACTAAGCTTGCAACAAATTTCCTAGCTGGATTTTAATCCCCAATCTTACTGCACCCAAAATTTCATAGCTACCGATTGGTCCAAACAAGACATATAACAGAAGGCTTCAAAAGGCGAAATTTCAGAGCGACTACAGAAACTCCCAGGAAACAGGGGCCTCACCATCTCGCCGGGCACGGGCCACATCAGGCGACGGCGACTGGGCTCGGTGACGGCTTTTGGGTCGGCTCCTTGGCGTCGGCGAAGTCCTCGGCGTTGTATACGACGGTGAGGAAGAGGGAGCACGAGGGGCAGCGCGCAATCTCCTCCCCGAGGCGGAGGTCGTCGAGCGTGATCTGGAAGAGGTCGCCGCAGGGGCACGGGTACGTGTACGCCTTCAGCTCCGCGTTCCACTCCATGTCCTCGATCTCCACCTCGTCGTACGCCGACATCTCGCCGCGGCGAAACCCTAACTCCTCCCCGACCGCGCTCGCAACCGGAGAGAAGACGCGTCGTCGGTGTTTCGCGCCGCCGCAAAGAGGCAGTTGCGTGATGAGGGTTAAGGCGGTGGACGGTGGTGGGCGGCTGCTAATGTTCTGATTACCCCTTGTAAGCATTTAATTGTTACGAAAATACCCCTGAGAGAAACCGGCGGACGGGCGGAAACAGCCTGCGGTTTGCCGGTTTGCTTCCAGAACGGACGTGGGAGTCGCCGGAAAAGACCTTGAGTATCTGCTATATTTACCCGACGCTCCCCACTTCTCTTCCCAACAGGCCCTCAGACCTTCGCGAGACGCGCACCAGCTCGCCGTCGGACGCAAGCGCTAGCAAGCTGCTGCTGCTCCGTCTCCCAGGCTGCCCGCTCCGACTCCGGATCCGTGACGTGAAGGCATCCATGGCGCGCGCGCTCTCCTCCCGGGCAGCGGTCCTGGCGCGCCGCCTCGGGGCCCAGCCCCAGCCCGGCGTGGTTCTGAGCCGCCGGCACAACCACACTCGCCGGCGTGCGGCGGGGGTTCTTGAAGAGGACGCCGCGGGGCCCTCTGCACCTGCGGCGGACGCCTCCGCGCTCTCCCGGCGGTTAGAGGAGGCGATAGACAGCGCCATGGCGCGGGCGGCCGAGCCCGACTGGGCGCCCTTCCGGCCCGGGACATCCTACTTCGTGCCGCCCCGGCCCGCCGGCGTGGCCCAGGGGATTCTCGCGCTTATTGGCCACGGTGGTGGGCACATCGGCTCCTCGGCAGCGCCGAGGCGGGGGCTCTCCACCGACGAGGCCCGTGCCGTCGTCGCCGACTCCCGCGGGTACCCATGCTCGACCTACTTCATCAAAGGTAACAATTCGACTATTTGGGATCTCCATTTCGCTATTCGGATTTGCTCGATTCTGAACTGAAACGGATGCATAAGAACTGCTAGAAATCAGAACAATTTCGAGACATTTCATCGTTCTGCTTTGTTTCTATAGCACCTGCTTATTGAGAGTTCTGTCTCACATGGAGTATCGGCAAATATGCAGGTCACTTTCCATATGAAGTGGAGAGCCCAAATATGGATGCTAATCAAGCTCAAGAGGAATGAATGGAAGGAGCTACGTTATTGCACTGGATGAAGGGGGTCTGGAAAAGGTGTCACTTTCATGTCATTTAGTGCTGTTGTACAAAAAAAAAGGAGTTGAACTGATGAATTCGTGAGCTACCGTGTAAAATAAAATTGTACTGAATTCATGTGATCTTCTAATTTTATGTAAGACTAGTCTATAAATAAAAACTATGGTTTCACCATCTTCTCTATGCTATCCGACATCAGGAACGTATGATGGGACACTGCTCCCATATTAGCTGATATTGTTGTACAAGTCAAAGCTGTGTATTATATTAACGTTTCAGATCATATTAGTTTTCAATTGTGAGCACTACTGCAGTACAGTGTATTGTCAAGATACAGTATTCAAAGTTTTTGAACTATACAAGTTGCTCCTCAGAATTGTCAATGTTGTGTGTGATCAAAATTAGTGGGAGCGGTAGAAACAAAATATGCAATTCAGACTAAATTTGAATTGCTTTGCTTCGGTGGATTAGCCATCGTGACGAGGCTACTGAATGGATCACCAAAAGGATTGGATAATCCAGATTGATTAGAAGGGGCAGAATACTGGGACTTCTGCTGGTATGTTTGAGGCAGCAACATCACCATCTGCTGCTGCTGCTGTACTTGATAGTACTGCTGCTGCTGTGCCTGGTAATACTGCTGCTGCTCTGCCATCATAGCTAGCTGCACATTTGACGGTGGCGCAAAGCTATTTGACATGGCAAATGGATCATTGGGGTCAAATGGGTTTGCTGCAAGACTTCCAGTGTAGGTCACACTGGCTATTTGTTGTCTCCTTGCCTCGTCTTCGTAAAGACTGTCGAGCAATAGCTTGTCAAATCCCCCAGCCTGTTCAGCAAATGCAAGTAAGTAATTTAGCTCTGATTGCTTTTACTTAAATTCTGTATTTATGACCACATCTTTTACAGCTAATAATCTGTGTGAATTCATATGATCATATTTTCTCTAGAGATAGCAAAGGTCTACATACCAATTGATTGTCGACTTGTTGATTTGTGTGGTTACTTGGTGCAGTAACCAGTGCCAATTCCCATCCAGCCTTGTCAAGGGCAAACAAGTCTCGAGAAGTTGACATCTTGTTTTCATTACCTACATTTAAGAGACAAGTTACTACATAGTGCACGCAGCTTAACACATATGATTTTCCTTAAGTAAAAGCATTCTCTTCACAAAATAGCACCAATTCAAAATTGCTGCTAGTGCAGTTATGCTTAACAGGATATGCTATTGAGCAGTGCATTGATATTATAAACACTGAACCTGGTGCCACAATAGCAAGAGCCAGTGCATTGCTTTCTTCAAGGTCTGCAATCATGGGGTTTACTTCTTCATCCAAGTTCTGCAGTTCATATATTAGTAAAACATGAGGCTTGGAAGAAGCAGGTATTGAGCTGAAGTGTAGATTCTTCTTGAAACATAGAGGAAATACTAATAGATCCCGGTAGTCGCCCCGTGGCTGAGGTTCCACTGGTTCTTCCAGAGGCCCAGCAGCAGGTTGTGGCTCTGCTTCAGGCTCTGCAGATTCTTGTTTTTCATCTTCCACAGGTTTCTCGGCTTCCTGTGGAGCTGCTTCTTCATTATCACTAGGTTGATTCTCTTCATGGTTTTCCTGGTTTAGCAAACAGCAATAATTATCAGAGATATTCTCCTATGTGCTTTGACCTTTTGCAGTTCCACTGACACTGGACACACTCACCAAACTCTTACCTCAGTATCGGCACAGGGTGCTTCTCTGATATACTCTTCCATTGTCACAAGAAATGAAGGCGGCGGCTGCATAGTGGTAATTAGTAGCCCATCAACACAGTGAGTGACTAATAGTACAATACAGTGTGCAGAGGACAAAATTTAAGTCATTCCAATTTCCAAATGGGATTTAAACCACTGACATTTTTACACTTATAACTGTGGTATATTCAGTGATGTAATATATCTTTCCTGAAGATTTATCTGTTAAAATCAGTAAGGAATGTCGGAACATGCCTGCCTCAGAGTGGGAAACTGGAAAGTCCTGGCCAGCTCAAGATGTTTGCAGTGGTCATAGAAATTAGAAAGTTTTTCTGCCTGTGAAATTGATGGTACACACCATGAGATTCCAAGAACCAGATAGTTCATCCAAATATATACTCTTGAACCCAGTTTATGGTAAAATTGCTTAGTTTCTATACCTGCTGACCAGCTCGTTTATAAATTTCAAGGGCCTTGATTGCATCATATTTTGGCATCTCAAAATACTGCATCACATGAGAGAAATGTAAGTTATTCTCCGTATGTTCAGATTATGGAGATATATGTAAAAAAGCATTTCAGTAAGAACTGGAAGTTACCATATCAACAAGATTGATGATGCCATCATTGATTGAACAGTATATTTTGAAACTTTCCTTCAAAACCTATGGCCCATAAGACCTCTGTAAGACTTAAGGATATAAGGAAACACACACTATATTGTGCCAAAAATCTTTGCCAGAACAAGTTTCAGACTTACAAGAGCTAAGGCATATTGTACAAGGTAATTTGTGCAGGCTCCACCTTCAGGCTGCAAAATGACAATGGAAAATGAAATGTTGTATCGGTATCAGTCTATATCAGAGAGTTGTATGTATACACTGGCCGCTTAACAAAATTTCTTATTTGAAAGCTCAGTAGTGTTTCTTATTTCATAAACCAGGCTTAACACAGTTTTATTTTCTAAAATTAAACCTGACAGTAAATAAGCCTGAGAAGCAGTTTCTGCAATGCTGGCAACTGATCCAAAAGTTCCCCGAGCGGCAGGGTTCTTGTTCTGCTGTGTGCCTGGGATTTGCCAAGATTCAGCATAGCATTCACATGGAGCAAACAATTCACAATGATGCCTACCTTGCCAGAAGCGTGGGGTAACTTGAGCAGACGATCTAATTCGACGTCGTACTTGAGAACCCTGAAGCACTCGACCCGTTCGTCCAGGTAGAGCGCGTACGTGCGAACCAAGCGGAGCAGTCCCAAGCTGCATGCAAAAGCGAGCGAGCAGAGAACCTGTTTGTTCAGGCATTGAAGCACGTAGAACAAACACAGGGAAGGCACATTTTTGCACCCATGGAAAAATGCAGATTGAACACAACGACCTAATGGGCTGGAGTCATCCTTGAACTGTGGGATCTGCAGAATGTTCCCTCTGTATGAATAGGTGAGGAAATCCTCCTTGAATGTGCCATCGCCTTCTCTGAGCAGCCTGTGTATCACTATCAACGTTTTCAGTGCAACCTGTAATCAAGAAATGGGTTGGCATGTGCTCATGGCTGGTTGCCCTTCACATCGCAAAATGTAACAAACGAGCAGTTCTCAGAAAGGTAGCAGAATCAAAGGGAACCAGAAAGAAATAGGCAATAATGTGAGTGAATCAAAGGATCGTCACTAATTCATGAACAATGGAGCAAGAAGAAGCTAAGACCCACTGTCCAGTTCCTGGTCTTGGACAACCTCCTCGCCAGCGTGCATATCGAATAGGCGACGTCGGCTCGCGGGCGATGCCCCGAGGTCGCGAAGAGTATCCCTGCACGAAGCAGAGGAAACTGACCATGAACACCTGCTGCTGTTGCGAATGCCCTCTCGAAACATATAGAATCGAGCTAGCACTCACTCCTGAAGTGGCGCTCCTTGGGCGGGCACTCCACGTGGTTCGTCGCCTTCACAATGGCGATGTCCAGATCCTGCAAGGAATTCATCAGAAAATTAAAACGCCTTCACAATGGGCAATGGCCAATTGGCCATTGTGGGGGCGAAGAGCCGGGAAGGAAGATGACAGTCGAACGCCATGGGACGGGAGGCCGGGCGGCGGCGCCCGGCGCGGCGGGTGAATAGATGGGCACCGATCGATCGATCGGACATCGGAGGCAAGGCATCGTCGTCATCACCTTGTACTCGCTGTTGAAGTTGGCGAGGCCGACCTTGGTGGAGTCCTTGAGCGCGCCGTAGGCCTTGCGCCACGTCCCGGAACCCATGCCGGCCGGCCGTGCCCCGCCGTCCTCCGCCGCGTCCCCACGGGCCACGCGATCACCGCTCACCGACCGGCAAACCTGCCAGCTAGGCAACTCCCCAAGTTTAGCGCGCGGCGGACGGACGGACGGACGGGGAGGCGAAGGGAAAGGAGCTAGGACGGGAGGCGCGGGTTTGCGTCGTTTTGGTAGGAACGGAACGGCCTGCTGTGCGCGTACGGTCACTTCGGCTCGATCAGGTCGCCTCGCCCGAGCAGGGCGCGCGCGTGCGCGCCACCGGACTCTGTCACGGTGTCAGCTAAATTCGATGGGTATGATTCCCCAAATCAATCGCCTTCAGGCCTTGTCCGTTTTATCCGGAACCAAGTGAGTTAGAGTGGATCGAGGAGTTAAAATACTGCTTAGGCTCGGTTCGGTTCTTCCGGAACAGGCCGTTCCACGCCTGAAACGGTTCCGGCACTATACAAACGGGCGCTACTAGCGTCCGGACATCCGCACGGAAGCCCGAGGCTGCAGTCAGTTTCCCATCCGTTTCCACACGTGGGCCCACGCTGCCTAGACCATTGCTCGACCGCACCTGCATCACCTGCGCCTATGCGGGGCCCGCACCGCCCGAACGTCGCCCGCGATGGGACCGTTCGCGCCCATCCCGCTTCCCACGCGCATCCACTATGACCCGATCTTCTTTTGAAACATCCAGATGCAACACTTGTAATATAAAAAAAATACAGACGAAACATTCGAAACATGCATCTGAAACACTTGCAAAAACAATTGAAAACCATTCCAAACATACACAACATCCACATAAAAACACTTGCAACATATATGTGAAACATATCCAACATCCAGATAAACACGTTTGCAACGTACGTCTGAGAAAAACAAATAAACATTGGGGACGGACGGTGTGAAACACTTGAAACATCAAATAAAAACGCTTGTAAGATACGTGTACCACCATTGCAACATATGCAACATCCCGATCTACTTTTGCAACATCCGTGTGAAAACACTTGAAACATACCTCTAAAATATCTGAAACATTTCAAATGTACACTTGCAACATGCATCATATCTCGGTGCGGCCTCCTCCACCATCTGCATTGGGGCGCTGCAGCCGTAGCGGGAGGTGAGGGCTCCGCGCCAAGGCCTGACGCTTCTCCTTGCGCTGGCGGCACCTGTCAGCGTCGTCGGGCGAAGCAAGCGGCGGAGCGGGCGGCGAAGCAGGAGCAACAATAGGGCGAGCGCGCAGAGCAGCGGCAAGAGCAGCGGGCGCGGGCGCGGAGCAGCGGCTAGAGCAGCGGCAGGAGCTGCGGGCACAGGCGCGCGGGAGCAGCGGCAGGAGTTGCGACAGGAGGAGCAGGGCAGGCGGCGAAGTGGGAGATGGATGAATTGACTAGATATTGCAGAGTGAGCGATGGATGAATTAATTGGATATTAAACAAAGGTTATGGCACATGGCTTCACGCCCGCGTCCGTCCGATACTCGAGTAAAAAGTCGGATGCTCGGATCGAGGAATTACCTTATACAAATTTGTGAAGAAATCATTTGGCTGAGAATGATTCCCCATGGACTGAACTGAGGCCTTAACCCCTTCCAATCCTCTCCAACTCTTTTGTTTGGGAAAGAAACGAATAAGGCCTCAACGAATCTATGTTGTGTCGTTCAATGTCTACTAAGCTATACTCTACAACATCTTTTTTTTTTTCCAATAACAGACTGCTTGGTCCAGCTTGTATTGAAAGCCGACAACATCTTTTTATTTTAGTTAGGGTGGCATGGTAAATTTCATCTTTTTTTTCGATAACAGACTGCTTGGTCCAGCTTGTATTGAAAGCCGACATCTTTTTATTTTAGTTAGGGTGGCATGGTAAATTTCATATTAGTGCCGCTGTGCAAAGTGTGAACCTTTTCAGTTTACAAAGATGGGACTTAAAACTAACCGATTATGGAGGAGGGTGACATATAACAACAGTTGCTGGGCACGCCTTTAACATCATTAGGACCAAACTAGAGAAGCGAATTGTCTCGTCTCCAGAATTCAGCATTTTAACATCATATCCATACATTGTTTCTTCCATATAATGCCTTATTTGATAAGACCTATCTTTGAAGGCTTCTCCAAAATAGTCAGAGCCATTTTAAAGAAGTCATAATTTTATATAATTCGTTTGATAAGACTTCTCTGTAGAAATTGAAGCTAGAGCAGAGAAGCCATACCAAACGGGGAGTGGTCGGGTCTTGAGTGTTTGAAATTTCGACATTAGTGTCTGGCCAACCGTTAATAGCCCAACAGAAATTATAGAGATGTCCACAAAGGCGTGCGCGTTCGTGTTGTCGTCCCGATGCGCGTTTTTCACGAGCTATAGGACACACCAGCGGTACCAGCCTGGCCGCACGGTTCCATCGTGATGACACGACTCCGGCGCAGAGCTATCCGCCGGGCCCCGGAGACCGTGGCCTGACACGACTCCGGCGGAGAGCTATCCGCCGGACCCCGGAGACCGTGGCTGCAGGCCGGGATCGGATTGGAGAGCACCGCCACCGCCACTCAACAGTCAACAGGCACGCCAAACACCCTGACATGCACGCCTCGTATGCGTAAGCTCGTCAGTCCCCCAAGAGCTCACTGAACACTGAACCACGACTGTTTTTACTCGAGCTAGCATATACATTGTGATTCAGCTTTTTGTAAAAGTGATTAAACAACTATAACATTGTGATCCATTCTTCAGTCATCAAAATTCATGCAGCGAAGGTGACAAAACTGTAAACACACATACCCACACCCAGTTTTACACCCACATAATAACAAAAATCTATCGGCAATTCATGGTTGCATGATACAACACAGCCTTGGGTCCTTCCAAACACGACAACCTTTCTGTTTACTTGGGTCCTTCCAAACACGAAAACCTTTCTGTTTACATCTCACCGAGTAGTAGTTCTCCAGCAGCATCGAGTATTTTACTCTTCTTTTCTTTTGCTTTTGCTATGGCTTTTGTTTTTAAAATGCTTTTCCTTTCTTTTGTTTACACACGAAGACACTGAAACTCGTATGACGTATGTTGGGTGTTGGAAGGAGCATTTTTATGTGTCATCAAGATGCCATGTATAGACACGGATTTAATAACTTCATCCGAGAAAAATTGACCCATTGTATCGACGCCGATCTGTGACAGCAGTGGTGCAGGACAGCAGGAGTTCCCTATTTGGAAAAAAAAAACTTCCTCATCTAGTCTGTGGCCTGCTATAAAAAGCGAGCAAAAGACCTCACAGGAATACGATAGAAATTAAGAAATATTGTTACCTCTTAGACTTAAATGATACCTTCACATGCACAGCTCACATCTGAGGATGGGTGCACAATTTTCAGCGTTTCTGATTGCTGTCACCTAGACGATTCTTCAGCTGCAAAGATAAAAAGTCAATTAAACCGGTTTCTGTTAGGACTAATCTTGTCATATAGGCATATTAGTGTTAATCATAAAGTATAGGCATTTCTAGATGAGAGAGTACATAAGTCAGTAGCATTAGTGGTAATTGAAGTTTAACACCGCAGGAAGCAAGCTGCTGGGGTGAAAATGGAGCAAAATTGTATTTTTACTTGTAGCTATAACAATAGGTTGCTTAGCTAGCAAGTAGGGGAATGTGAACTGTGCTCTATTAGATCGGTTCGTGTAGCAACCGACCTGAAAACCCTATAAAAGGGGCAGCAACCCTCCTGTGTAGAAGTGAGTTTGAATTAGAGGAGATAGCTTTGGTTTGGTTGTGAAGATGTAGTGTGTATGTGTGATAGGAGAGCATAGTTGTGAAGATCAAGCAAGGTGTGAAAGCTTGTAGCATGAAGCTATAAGATCAACATAGTGCAAGCTGGTCATGTATAGAACCACCCCCACCCTTTCCTTTTCGGTTGGGGTGGGTGGGTTTGGTGGTGTTTTCTTTGGCAAGCTAGGTTTCTTTCTAAATCCAGCTCGTCTTGTATTCTTCTATCTTAATGAAATGACAAGCAGATCTCCTGCGTCGTTTGAGAAAAAATATAGTGCAAGCTTGTGTCTGTAGGAAACAAAGAGATTTTGTTTCCAACAGTTTCAAAGAGAATCCATGGCAAAATCTAAAGTGTATTCAGGGTCCTAATAGGTAGGACTGATGAGCACATGAAGCCCAGGGCTACAAAGATCAGGCAACCTCACATAAGGCCCTATACTTCAGTTTCTTTTTCCTTACAGGGGACACGGTCACACGGAGTTCAATTTCTCTTCACGTAGATAGTCATTGAACTCCTTCATGATGAGCACTTAAAACTGAAATAAATGCTTACTCCTAGATATCACTTTCATGCAACTGATTGAACTTCAGTCACTGCACAAGAACAGATAATTCCTGGACTGCAGCCTTTTCTTTTTCTTTTTCTTTTTCTTATGAAAATATGTTGAGCTCAGGTAAGTGGTTAAGACCATCAAAACACACATAGAAGCACAGGATTAGATGATGATACATATTTGACCAACCAGGATTGAATGGTGTCAGATCATTTGCCTCTGTGGACATATGATCATCTGGTTGGTTTAAACCACTTTCGAATTTTAATTTTGTCATATGGCACTACTTAAAGAGAAAATTTAGACAGCTTCATTTAAAAACTTAGTAAAGGGCGTACCCAGTGCAGAGAGCTCCTGCTCTGTGCGGGGTCTGGGGAAGGGTGTTAGTGGCAAGTCTTACCCTCGCCTGTGCAATGCGAGGAGACCGCGATTCGAACCCGGGACCTTCCAGTCACAGGCGGTAAGACTCTACCGCTTGCACCAGGCCCGCCCTTCATTTAAAAACTTAGTGTAAACAAATATTTTTAGATGCGAATTTTGATTTGTTACATGGCGTTACTAAAGAGAAAATTTAGACATAAAAAATATCCAAACTTCACTAGTGTAAAAAAAAATCTAGAGTAACTAGATTTAAGTGATACTAATGTCTGTGATAAGAAAAGGCTTCTATACAATATTCTTTGAAGTTTTACCAACCAATGGTCACGGTCCTCATATGTTATGAGGTATCACAAAAAAGAAACATTTCCATAAATAGGAAGCGTTCAATTTTTATTGCAGAAAGCACGTCACATTAGTTTATCAGGTCAAAAATAGGAAGAAAAATGTAGTCAGTTCCCTGTTTGTCATGTTCAAATGCTGGGCCAAAGCGCTAGCTTGCATGTGATGCAAAGAAAGTGCCAATCATAACCACTTCCAATATCACAATGAACATACCTTATTTATGTACTTCAGTTGCTTGCGAACTTCAGCGGTCTCCAATTCCTACAATGGAAAAGATAATCGAGAAATCAGTTTCTCAAAAAAAATAGTAGTTTTAGTTACTTAGAGCGTCTTTGGCACGGCTCCGCCTCGCAGGGCTCCGGCTCCATATGGACTGTGCGCTACTGTGCCGGCATGAAAAGGGCTCCGGCTCCTCCGGTATTTTGCCTAGGAGCAGCAGAGCTGTGTTTCCTGGCTCCCCCGGCTCCGCGCTACAGTGCTGGAGCTAGAGCCGGGGAGAGCTGGGCCAAACAGGCCCTTAATATGGTACAAACAATGCAAGGTGGCAATGATGGTGTTATCACTTCTTCCATAGATTCAAGAGTTATTTTAATTTTTCAAATAGGTGTCGTGGAAATACAATTGCACTTGCACATGAATAAAACGTCCAAAGATCCAAAGAAGGGATACCAACAGTGAAAATAACAAAAAAGACATAACCAACCACACAAGGTACCATCAGTCATGAATAGCTTGCCCTAATCCTAATGCAGTTTGATGATCACATAAGACAAACAGCTCTTTCTCACAAGGCCACATAAAAAATACAACCAAAACGAAAGTATTAACAGAATGTACCTGCGAACAGCACAATCAGCATGGAAAGGATCCCAAACAACTGAACACGAACAGTCCCAGTCGCTTGATTGAACAACAAACAATGGTGCCCTGCAAAAGGTCCATGCAGTAAAAAAGGCATATAAACGTATTAATGCTATATGTTAACACAAACATATAGATATGAGAAAAACAGCAATTTGGAATGGAGTATTTACCTCCGCCATTTGCCACAAACAACTCCTGTGTCTAGAACTTCCCGGCACTGGATCCAGTTACCGATAGTGGTTTTCTTATCCTCAAACTGTTCTAAGTACTGAAAATGCAACATACAGGGTCAGGAAGGGTGCCTGATAATAAGCATTAAGGATTTTTTTTTTGTCAATTATCATTTATCAGGTTCAAAGTGGACTGACACATACACCCAACATTGTCGTTTTACTAGGATCAAGTTCAGTGGGCTCAGCAAACTGATCTTCTCTACTGCACAAAGAATGTGGCATTAACATTAGAGACTGTATTTGATAATATCAAAGTTGAGAACACACCGCTATTGTGGTGATTTTGCATCCAGTTACGACGCTACCAACCAGGGTTCAAGACCCCTCTAGAAAAAAGGAACTCGCTGAGTTATGTTGCTTTCGACGTGTTCCTGGGCGGTCCAGCCCTGTGGTCCCTTTTCTCGACCCTGTGTTGAGATCTTTTTCTTAAGGCAAAACCACAGGGAAGGTCTGTCCCCAAGGGGTTGATTTTTTTTTCATAATACCAAGTTGCAACAAAGAATATGCATGTAAACAGGATGAATAAAGGATCATCCTTGTAAAAAATAGTATCCTGCAAATATGGGCGGGAAATCCTCCATCTCGTTTCCGGTCCCAGTCCTGGTCGATCCAATCCCGTTACTGTTTTTCCCATAAATATGGAAACGGTCGGGACAATAGCGATAAATGGTATAAGACAGTACAAGATTTATCACATCTATTAAACCGGGCAAATTTAGTCCTCTAGCTGGTTCCGAAGGTGGTTTTCTATATTTCAAAAATAATAAAAAATTGGTTTAATCTCTAAAAGTTCATAACTAATTTACTTTAAATAAAAAAATAAAAGAATTACCAATTTTTTTCTAAAAATATTATCTATCTATCGGTAATCTATTTAGAGTTGTTCTATTCCGATTGTTTTATTGTTCATAGTCATGCTCATTATTTATTTAAAGGCATATTTGGGACTGCTCTACAAACTCCACCATGGAGCAGCTCCATAAAAAACAGAAGTTTCTAGAGCAGGGGCTCCACTCCATATTTTTCAGCTCCGCTCCACGTTTTTTAGCCAAACAGATTCAGCGCCATACAACTCTGCTCCAAGAAAAAAGGTGAAGTTGTGAGAGCACCTAAAGTGGTGCTCCACAAACTCCAGGTTTTTTGTGGAGCTACTCCATAGTGGAGTTCATGGAGCAGAGTTCGTGGAGCAGTCCCAGATGCTGTCACAACTCCATCTTTTTCATGGAGTGGAGCGGGGCTGAAAAACATGGAGAAAAGCAGTCCCAAACAAGCCCTAAATTATCATTTGCGTTGTATCACACCTGAAGATAGACCAAGAGGATCTAACATACTATGAGTAGTTCCTCTGTTACATTGCATTATACCTTCTAAAATTTGTACTGAAATATAAGGCACTCTATATGGTGCCCATGCTCAAATTTGGCAAAGTTTGTTACACATAATTTGAGGATAAACCCCTTAATTGGGTTCAATCCATGGGTACATGCGTCATTTGAGTATTCCCTTAAGTTGTCTTAAATTTTTTGAAATGCATTATATTACACGACAGAGGGAGTACATAGAAAGATGTAGAAGACGACACCAACCTCACAAATGGCATGCTCCACCATATGTATAGATCCTATTTAGGCATTTCATGGCTAGTGCTTTACTTTTATGTTGATTGCCTGACTAAGTTATAGGTTTCGAAAAAAGGTAGTGCCTTAAACATCATGCAATAAACATAAAGTAAATAGGCGTGAGTAATGGCAATGAAACACTAAGAATATGAATAAACAAGATCCAAATAGCTCCAAGTAGAGTACCAACAGATAGATAACATTTTTATAAAAATGATCAGTGCTAGTTTCATGTTTTTCTAATTTAAGATAAAATTAGTTATGAATTTTCACAGATAAACCAGATTTTTATGTCTTTTTTAAAACAGATAACCACCTTTGAAACGAGCTAAGGACCAAATTTGTACGGTTTCAACAATTGGAGAGCATACCCGGTTTCGTAGTTCAAGGTTGCAAATTGGATCGTCATGCAAGATGAAGGTTAAAAGTGAACTTTAACCAAAAATAAATTACCATTTTTCATGAACAGAAATTGTTAGTTAAGTTGAAGTTGCCTCTCCTATCGCATTAATTGCATTAAAAATAAATCTTAAAGTAACTTCATCAAGAGTAAGTGAGCATACCTGGAAATAGGACCAGACCATTCTGGAACTTCTGCTTGAAACTTACTACCAATCCTCACGTCACTTTCATATGATTCAGAATCCACTAACATATCTCGAATAGGACCAAGACCTCGATGAGGTCTTTCAATGTCCTTGGATGATTTAACTTTGGGATTTGTCAACTTTCCACGTTGTCTCTTAGGTTTCTTTTTTTTACAGGCCAAACAATACCACTCTTCCTCTGGTATTTTCTTGACACGTGGATTGCAACACAATAAATGAAATGCTCCTTCACAACAATCACAAATTAACATTTTGGATGGATCTTCCATCAACCCGCATTTCATGCATTCAAATAAAGGACTGTTTAGATTATCATCACGGTCTATAGTACTTGATGTTCTGCTTAGTTCTGAGTCTTTAGCGGGACATATTTTTCTTTTAAGGATGGAGATGCAAAGGTCCCTCGCTGATGTTAACTCTGTTACTGGTTTTGCAGTATTTGTATCAGGCAATGAACACTCCCAAGCATCTTTAATACTCTGACTGATATAAGATGGTGCACTTGATGAGGATGATGGCTGGCCAGTATTGACATTGGGAGTGTTCGGCTGCCATTATAAGCAGCCGGCTTATAAGCCATGGTACAGTATTTTTCTCTCCCAACAAATCAGCTATACAAATCAACACAAGCGGCTTTACGAGCAGCCGAACAGAGCCATTGACATTAGAACGTGATCCTGCTGAAAATTCTGCACTTGAATTAACCATAAATGATTGGCCATCCGTGTTGTGCTCTGGAGATGAGATATATCCAGTGGTTGTGAAGTTTGTCGTACTACCATCTCTCATATTTCCATTTGTTAGGTGATCACATTCCTCATCCATCTTCCTTCGTTTATTCAGATAGAAACCATCTTCTGAAGCAGGAATTGAACAAATACTCTCGACGGGCATCAAACTCGAGTTCAAGGACGAATCAACAATTTTAATCACAGAAGATCTGAATTCCTTCTTCCAACATAGGACAGGTTCTATATAGCTTTCATCTGAGCATCTACTAGATTTTAAAGCCATGTCTTCAGTTGAGAACAACTGTGACTGCTCCCACCAAAAACTGAACTATGACAGCTCCTAACAAAAATCGTAGGCACAATAGGTAGCTTGCCTTGGCCAAGGGTAGATATCAGATAACTATAACTGAAGCAGGTACAGTGCTGTATTATTAAGACAAAAAAAATAATCAAAACTTTAAAACAAGCAGTAGGCCAGTAGCCAATGATATATGTGGCTTAGAAAGGATTTGTATGTAAGATCTGAGACAAACAAATCAAAAGGAAATTGTACAGAATATTTAGTCTGACATTCATTAACTGTGTAACCCTTGACGAAGTGTCATCTGAATAACATCTCGGATATATCAAATCAGACCCCAATTGAGGTACAATAGGTGCTCAGTATGACCAAAACTGAAAAAAGATGGTGAATTGTTTCATTTGATAGATTGAACAAATATAGTGCCCATTTTATACCCATAGGTAGGGATGTAAACGGATCGGATATGGACGAATATCGTTGATATTACATTTGTTTTCATATTTCTATTCGGATTCGGATTCGAATACGGATAGTATCATATATGTCGGATCAAATACGAATGGATATCGACATTATAAATATGAGATTTGAGTATCGAATGTTAAATATACAGACTCAGATACGGACAGATCTGAACCCCCTAAACAAATTCGGTTTCGGATAAGGTCGAGAAATATCCGTACCATTTTCACCCCTAGACCATAGAGCATGCCTATGAGGCTGTTTAAATCTGTAATTGAAATAGAAGAAGCACAAACTGTTCATTTCCCCTCAGCATATCCGAATACAAATAGCTTAAGTTAGGGTTGGGTCCCGGTTTCGCACAGCAGGAACGGAAGAGAAAGGGTGAGCATACCTGATGCTTCGACGCCGACGAAAGACGCGACGAATGGCGGGAAGGGACACCGATCTGGGCACCTGGCGTGGGGCTCGGCGGTTGCTGCAAACGGAGAGGGTGAGAGAGCAGGTTGGGCGTCGGCGGTTGCTGCAGACAGGAGAGGGTGAGACAGGCAGACAGCACGCCGGATGAACGGCACAAGAAGATGCTGAGAAAGTGGGTTTCGTATCAATTTGGCCATTTCAAATAAAATAAGGTGTCATTTAGATATACAAACTCTTTAATCATGTTTTTGACATCCTAATATTATTTAAATATACCACTTAGGTTCATAACTTATTGGATTAAGGTTTTTGCCGATGTGGCGGCGACAGAGCGCACGTGAGCCGCGCGTGAGTGGTGGCGCTTGCTGCATGCGGCAGCGGACCTGGACGTGGACGTGGTCGCTCTGCTCTGTCACCTCTACTAGGCTGCCTCCTCGTCTTCTCGCTGCTCTGCCTCCGCGCCGTCGTCTTCCGCACGCAGGAGCCGGGGCACGGGCAGCTGCAGCCGCTGCCGGCGCTGGAGGTGGAGACCTACAACTACACGTCGTTCCAGGAGGGCAACTCGCGGGAGCAAAAGGAGCTGGCGTTCAGCAGGGAGGCCCGCACCTACCAGGGCGCGATCCAGGTCTCCCCGGACACCGGCAACGTCGGCAGCTACCAGGACATCATGGTCAACAAGTCCGGCTCCGTGCTCCTCCAGCGCCGCTTCACCATGTGGCGCCGCGTCGACAATGGCAGTGGCAGTGCCACGGCCCCGCGCGTCCAGGTCGTGTCGTTCAACAGCACCTTCTCCATCAACGTGTTCCACCTCCTGGACTCGTCGCTGCGGCCCGGCGAGGGGCTCACCTTCGTCGTCGCGCCGTCCCGCGACGAGCCGCCCCCCGGCAGCTACGGCGGCTACCTCGGCCTCACCAACGCCACGCTCGAGGCCAACCCAACCCCGACGAGGAACCGCTTCGTGGCCGTCGAGTTCGACACCACGAAGTAGGACTACGATCCCAGCGACAACCACGTCGGCCTCAACGTCGGCTCTGTCGTGTCCGTCAAGACGGCGAACCTGACGGCGTTCCGCATCTCCACGAACAGCAGCAACCCCACCAACTACACGGCCTGGGTCGAGTACGACGGCGCGGCGCGGCACGTGTCCGTGTACATGGGCGTCCAGGGTGAGGCGAAGCCGGCGTCCCCGGTGCTGGACTCGCCGCTGGACCTCAGCGAGCACGTCCCGGAGAAGGCGTACATCGGCTTCACCGCGTCCACCGGCACCGACTTCGAGCTCAACTGCATCCTTGACTGGACGCTGTCGATCGAGGTCATCCCGGAGAAGAAGAGCACGACGTGGGTCGTCATCGTCGTCGTCGTCGTGCCAGTGACCGTCGTCGCGGTCGGCGTCGCCGCCTTCTTCCTCGCCAGGAAGCTGCGCGCGAGGCGGTCCATGGAGAGGCGGCAGGAGCGGCTGGAGCAGCAGCTCAGCAACCTCCCCGGGATGCCCAGGGGGTTCGCGTACGACAGAGTAGGTTATAGTTGTTAGAGCGAACGTGCAGTGATGTCCACTGGACGATGAGATGCGTCTTGTTCTTTTTCCAATCTGATCTGACGAGCACTGCGTCGCTTGCATTTCTGTCAGGTTGGTGCTACAAGAAAGGGCAACTGCTGCTGGTGTATGAGTACATGCCCAACGGCAGCCTGGACCAGCACCTGTTCCGGCGCGGCGTCCACGAGCAGCGGTGGCCCGTGCTGAGCTGGGCGAGGCGGTACGCCATCGTGGGCGACGTCGCGGCGGGGCTTCACTACATGCACGACGAGTACACCCGCATGGTGCTGCACCGCGACGTCAAGGCCAGCAACGTGCTGCTGGACGCGTCCTTCCGCGCGCGGCTGGGCGACTTCGGCCTGGCGCGAGTGCTCGACGATGACCGCGGCGCGCTGCTCGGCGCCGTGGACCAGAGCCTCGGTGCCGACGAGTTTGACAACGACGAGGCCGGACGCCTGCTGCTGCTCGCGCTGGCGTGCAGCAGTCCCAACCCGGGTGACCGGCCCACCATGCCACAGGTGCTGCAGGTCCTGACCAAGGCCACGCCGCCGCCCGAGGTGCCACTGTTCAAGCCCCGGTTCGTGTGGCCGCTCAAACCAGGCTCACGTGCGCTCTGTCCCCGCCACGTCGGTAAAAATCTTGATCCGATGAGTTATGGATCTAAGTGGCATACTTAAACAATATTATGATGCCAGAAGTACGATTAGAGAGTTTGTGGACCTAAGTGGCACCACGAGACAAGTTCGAGGGCCTACGATGCATATACCTCTAAAATAAGTACCCATGTTCGGTGGGTGTAAACACATGTTAAACTAAACTTATCGTGTTAGAGCAAGGCTAATAGTTACAGCCGCTGCTGGCTGTTAGGTTGTCTGTAGTTTTCTCTTAGCTCACTTATACAGTAGTTAGCTCTTCACTATTAATAAATGGTCTACTTGTTTTTCTTACAAGTTTATCAATTCTTGTGCCTAAGCTGGCTGTAAGCTTAGACTATCTCCAACAGCCGATCCCCAAATCAGCGACCTATACCCGGATTTGAGTTCGGCACAGTAAAAAAGTCAGCTAGCCAAAACATTCCTTCTCCAACAGCCCGCCTCCATCCCCGCCTCGCCGTCGTCGCCGGGCCTCCCTCCCCTGCACGGCCTCCCTCCCTCCCTGCGCGCAGATCCGACGAGCACCGCCCGCCTCCCTCCCTCCCTGCGCGCAGATCCGGCGTGCGCCGCTCGCCTCCCTCCCCGCCAAGCTCCGCCCACTTCCCTCCCCGGCGAGCTCCGCCCACCTCCCTCCCTGCCTCGCCATCGTCGTTGGGCCCGCCTCGCCGGCGAGCTCCCTCCCCTACACGACCTCCCTCCCTCCCTGCGCGCAGATCCGGTGAGCGCCGCCCCGCGCGTCGCAGCAGCGGCCACACCTCCACCGCCGCGTCGCGGTACTTGGCCCGGTGGACGGCCACCGCGTCGGCGGACCGAGCCCGGAGAGGAGTGCGCGTCGTCGGTGCCCGCTGGCGCTCACCTCGCTGCCGTGGAAGACTTTGCGTCTTCGAGAAAGAGGACGCAAATAAGTGTCCCGGATTGCCTCGTACCCAAAATGCATGCTCCGTCTGCGTCTTCTATTGGAGCCGGCTAAAACACTGTGCATCACCATTTTTGGGTATGCGTCACCCTTTAGGTGAGCTGTTGGAGACAGTCTTACAGCCCGCTTCTTCTCTCACCTCCATCTCAGCATTTAGCCAGCTTATAGCCTCTTATTATACTTGCTCTTAGAGCATCTTCAACGGCATCTAAAAATTTACTCCATTTATTTCAAATTACAAGTCGTTTTAATTTTTTTATATATTAAATTTATTATGTATCTAGACATATATTATATCTAGATGCATAACAAATTTAATGTAAAAACAAGTTAATGTGACTTATAATTTAAAATAGAGGAAGTAGTTTTGAAACCTTTTTAGAAACTATTGAGTACGTTCCTTTTATTCGTTTCTAAAAGCATTACGCATTGTAATCTTTAACAAGCCACTGATCATAATAAACGAAATAATTTGTCATCGTAGCCAACTATCTCGGTACCTTAGCTCATAGCCTATACCTGAAACCTTCAAAACAAAATTTCCATTGCATATTCTAGCTCTCAATATTATCAAATCTAAAAATAGTGGCTACCAGCGGCGGCGGCTGGAACATGGCCAATCATTCAGGCACCTTAACTCACACCTAGAATCTTCAAAAAGAGATCTCCGTTGCCTACTCTATCTCCTAGTATTCTTAATTTAGATTAAAAAATAGTGTCCATAAATCACATTTCAGGCAAAGGCGAAGGAGGCCACGGCGGCAGCCGAGGGCAATAGGAAGTGCCGAATAAAAAAGCAAATAGGTGCATCGATTGTACATGGATGCCTCTATTTTTCCAAACGTGAATATATTGAGAGTTACGATAAAAAAACTGTTAGTGTGGGTTTTTTCATCATGCAAAAAACAAGACTGAGAATGGTTTAACAAACTATTAGAGATGATCTTAGAGTATATCGAAGAGTTCAAAAAAACAATTAGCAAATCAATGAGTTTTCTAAGTTGCTGGAAAAAAGTAGAGTATATTTGTTGGTTTTATCTGACCATTTTTAATATCTCATTCCTAAAAGTTAGAAGGCAATTCACGTCCGGAATCCGAACTATTTTTAAATCATTACCGCCTTGGCCTTGGACTGTGCAATCATAGGCGACCTAGGATGTGTTTAAAATAGCTTTTGCCCCGCTTATAGTGAAAAAAGGCCGGCGAATGCTTCCAAACGCAGTGCTTCTGACTCCGCGCTTTGTTCCCCATGTCGTTTACACATCAAATCGGAATCGGCCTCGAGAAAGCATTGAGGAAAATCCCACCAATCCCTCATGTGAGCCCCGCACCTCCATTCCCTTCCTCCTCCCTGCGGTCGTCCTCTACGCCGCCCATGGGCTCCTCTTCCCCGTACTCATCCTCCGTGCCGCCGCCGGTCTTCTCCTCCCCATGCTCATCCCCCACGCCGTCGTTAGGCTCCTCCTCGCGCTTGTCCTCCACGACACCGCCGGCTCCTCCCGGCGCTCATCCTTCGCACCGTCGGTGGGCTCGTCCACCCCGTGCTCACCGTCCGCGCCACCGGCAGACTCGTGCTCCCGCGCTCGTCCACCACCGTCTTCTTTCTTCCTGCAGTCCTTCATGTCGCCGGTCGTCCCCCTCATTGCGCTCTACCTCTCCGTCCCTTCCTCACGCAGCGGTGCTGCATGCAAGGAGCACGGTGACCCGGGAGGACTCATCGGAGGAGGTGGCGACCTCGAGCTCAAGGACTTACGCTTACAATCCTGCTGCAACCGTGATGCGGGTGCGAGCCAAGGTGCAGAGCGCGAGATGCCGATCGCGACGAGAACTTGCCGTCGGCGGTCCAGCGCCAAACCAAGGTGTCCTCCGCGTCGCTGAGCTCGACATCACGGATCCGATCCCAAATGTCCAGGTATTCCTGCATGGCCGGTGCTGTGATTCCTCCGGCGATGTGCCTGACCCATGCTCTGTTCGGCAGAGCCTGTGCAACCGTTGCCGATTGTAGAATTCGACGGTGCACAAGGCTGGCCAAGGTTGGAGCGATCTCCTGGATGGAGCGTCCGTTGATCCATCGTCCCGTCCAGAAGAAAGTGGATCTCCCGTTTCCGAGGATGGTGAAAATTGAGGCGTTGAAGAAGTCGGAGACCTCCCGTGAAGCTTGGATGGGTAGCTCAGCCTATGCTCGCTGAGAATCCGTGTGCTGCAACCAGAGCCACTTTGTTTGTAGCGCGATGGAGGTCTGGCACCCCGAGACCGCCCAGCCCCTTGGGGCGACAGACTATAGGCCAAGCGACCATGCATTTACTGTGGCAAGAGTGGTCCTTCCCGGTCCAGAGGAACCTGCGGCAGATGGCGTCGATCTCCTGGCGCACCCAAGGTGGCAACCCGTCCGCGAGCATGGTGTAGATGGGCACGGCCGTGAGGACCGACTTCACCCAGACCAGACGCCCGCTGCGTGCCATCAAAGGTCCGTGGCAAGCCGGTAGCTTCCTGGCCACCGCGTCCACAGTTGTCTGTACTCTGTAGGCAGTTCTTGGGCAGCTTGCTCATAGAAACCGGGAGGCCAAGGTATCGGATGGGGAAATCGGCGATTTGGCAGCCTAGGATCTGCTGTATCTCTGGCATTGTCTCCTCGTTGGCGACGATCGGCGTGATCGAGCACTTGGCGAGATTGATTCGGAGACCTGACGCGTTCCCAAAGATTCGGAGGATTTCCTTCACCGCTCTTGCCTCCGCCACGTCCGGATGGACGAACAGAACGACGTCACCCGCGTACAGTCTGCAGTGATGCTTGATTGCCGGTGCCTCGAGTGGCCGCGGATGATCCCTTCGTTCCTTGCTGCACAGAATAACCTCCCGAGCACCTCCATTGCCAGGATGAACTGGGCCCCGCGCCTGTGCTGAACTGGGCGTCCAGGCTGACCATTGAGCAGTATCCGAGATGAGGCCGAAGACAGTAGCAGCGCTATCTAGCGTCTCCACTGGTCGCTGAAGCCGTAAGCTCGCAAGGTGTTCAGCAGGAACGGCCATGTTACCGTGTCGAAAGCTTTTGATATGTCGAGCTTGAGCAGCATCTTGGGGATCTTGCGCTTGCGCAAATACACCGCCGCACGCTGCACGTACTTGAAGTTGTCGTGTATTGTGTGCGTCCTCGGATGAAAGCATTTTGGTTAGACGACACAAGTTGCGGCAGGTGCTGGGCCAGGCGCATGGCCAGCAGTTTGGAGATGAGCTTGGCGAAGCTATGTATCATGGTGATTGGTCTGTAGTCCGCCGGCGACGCTGCGTCAGGCTTCTTGGGTATGAGGGTGATGAGCGCGTTGTTGAGCAGGTGGAACGCTCGTCCATCCCCGTGGAGCACAACAGTCTATGCCCGCCATGCTGTCGTCTCTGATGACTGGCCAGGCTGAGCGATAGAAGGAGCCGGT